AAGCAGAAGGGAAGGGAGAATCTGAGGAGGGGGAAGGGGGAAGGAGGTAAAGGAAAGGAAGATAAAGGTAAAGAGAAGGAAGGAAAGGTGGAAAGGGAAGGGGAAGGACCTGGTCTTCCAGGCCCGAGCCACTTCAAATAGAAGATACAAAATAAGACAAAGAAGAGGAAGAGAAGGGAAGGGAAAGGAGAAAGGGTGGGGAAAGGGGGAAGGAGGAAGGCAGGAGGAAAGAAGCAGAAGGGAAGGGAGAATCTGAGAAGGGGAGGGGGAAGGAGGTAAAGGAAAGGAAGGTAAAGGTATAGAGAAGGAAGGAAAGGTGGAAAGGGAAGGGGAAGGCCCTGGTCTTCCGGGCCCGAGCCACTTCAAATAGAAGATACAAAAAATGCAAAGAAGAGAAGGGAAGGGAAAGGAGAAAGGGTGGGGAAGGCAGGAGGAAAGAAGCAGAAGGGAAGGGAGAATTTGAGAAGGGGAGGGGGAAGGAGGTAAAGGAAAGGAAGGTAAAGGTATAGAGAAGGAAGGAAAGGTGGAAAGGGAAGGGGAAGGCCCTGGTCTTCCAGGCCCGAGCCACTTCAAATAGAAGATACAAAAAATGCAAAGAAGAGGAAGAGAAGGGAAGGGAACGGAGAAAGGGTGGGGAAAGGGGGAAGGAGGAAGGCAGGGGGAGAAGCAGAAGGGAAGGGAGAATCTAAGAAGGGGGAAGGAGGTAAAGGAAAGGAAGGTAAAGGTAAAGTGAAGGAAGGACAGGTGGAAAGGGAAGGGAAGGCCCTGGTCTTCCAGGCCGAAAGGAGAAAGGAGACAGGAACTGGCTACTTTTTACACTTTTTTCTACACTTTAAAAAATATCTAGCTACTTTTTCTACACTTTTGGGGTTCTTTAGCAAGTGGCCTGGGTTCACCCTCAAAAAAGGCTCTTCCAGGCCACTTGTCTTTTTCTACACTTTTTCTCCTCAATTTTCTAAAAATTGTACTCAATTTTTACATTTTTTTTCTTCAAACAAGTCTCTGTCGGGTCTCTGTCGGGTCGGGATGCGACCCGGTGACGTCTCTGAGCTCAAAAAAGACGCGACAATTTTAACGCATGTTTTTTACCTTTTTGGAGGGCTGCGCTCTCTGTGTCTATTCCCCTTAACGGGTCCATCGCTCGGCCCGGCGCTGTGAGCTGGTTCACCGGGAGCTTCCTTGCAGAACTTTCTCTTCTCCAGGGAGGGAGGGAGGGAGGGAGAGGGAGGGAGAGAGCGAGAAAGAGTGAGAGCGCAAGGGAAAGAGAGCGGGCGGCTCATGTGCATTTTGTGACAAAAATACTATTTCTTCTATTTGAAGACCTGTTGGTGAGCACGTTTATCAACCTGTTATCTTGACGCCTTTCTTCTATTTGTCCCGGAACCCTGCCACGGGAGGAATATGCAGACTTCTATTTGAAAATATGTTTTAATATCTTCTATAATAAATTAGCGTACTATATCCTTTTGTGAGGCTCATGAACCAGTCACATACACAAACATGACATTTTGATGTATGCACACATTTGGTGGTGTACCTGCATTTTATGTGCAATGCGCAATAGGTTGATGCCTGCCACCATTTTATATCCGTTTATACCCCCACCCTGAATTGACACAGGGATGTTTGTTCCATTTTTCAGGGGAATCTTTGGAGGGGCGCAGGAGGACAATGCCTAACGAACCGCTCTATGGTGACCTCAGGATATGCAGCCTGATCAGCTCTGCACGTACCTGCTCGAATGCTAAAGTAACTTTTCCTTATGGGCCCTGGTTGTAGTCCTGGTTGTATATACCTAGAACAAGCTTTCCAGCCGTTGTGTCGGTTCTCTCACTGCAGTCACGCAGTTTTTGGAGCTTGATCTTTTTGGAACTGTGTTTTACTCAAGCCATCCTATGCAATTGTTGATGATTTTTGCACGTAGGCTTCTGCTAGGCATTTTGGCAACCTTCGTTCGTACTTTTTCCTGAGTGTGTGCTTTGGTCGCGGTGCATTTGTGTAATGATTCAGTTCTGATAGCCACGCCAAATTTCCTGAGCGGGGACGGTTCGAGCTTGTACGTGGTGCAGCGTCGGCTCACGGTGTGCCTATCCCGAAGCACCTGAAATAAAGCACGGACGAACACTACGCTAACTGCATCCTGAGAATGAGCTGGAGGGTCTGAGAACATTTGCTAAGCAGATCTAAGAACTTAATCACCGTAACACCAGTCGGCAAGCAATTACGTATGAAGAGCGGCGTGGTCTTCCATTGTAAGCTGCCGACACCCTTCGGGAATGCCAGCTGGAACATCAAGCAGCACAGTTCTTTGTGGCTTTTCGCCGAGAATCGGGTCGGACTGGTATGGTTCCCTGCGGGCTGTAGTGCGTGGACATCAATATGCAGCAATGCAAAGCTGCTCGGTACGGGCCAAGGACCTTGTGCAGAAGCCATCAAGAATGACGCCCAAATGCCAAAAGCAACCCATACAGAAAAGGGAACATCTCCGTATATACAGTAATTAATTATGCAACGACGCGCCTGGGCGCAGCTTTTCAAGTGAACCATGCGATGCAGAGTTGCTCAAAGCAGCTAAAGCCACCATCATCCCAGCTGAAACAGCAGATAGCCTCAACGTTGCCGGCAGTGGCTGCTTTTATAGTCCAGCGGTCAGGACAGCAAGCCGAGCCCTTGAACACTGGTCGAGAGAGTGCAACATGCCACAGCTTGACTACTATGAGGTTGTTGATGGCCACGATCATGCACAGTGTGCAGTAAGAGTGTCAACAGGGATCTTCTAGCGGGAAGAACCTGTGCGCAACCCATTCTGGACGCTACAATGCCAATGAGAACAGGGTGATGGGGCTGGAGTAATAAATGCCAGTGTTGCGGGGGATAGGACATTGGCAAGTGATGCGTTTGGCCACGATCGGAAGGAAGCCCATCGAGGGCGCGGGAGAAATTTGGGAAACTGCCCTGGAGCTTTCTTTGGCTTTTCAGTTGACGGTACTAGAAATACAATTTGCGGATCATTGATCACTTGCAGTTTGAGATGATTTGGGCGTACAATGGGGGTTTGTAGCCGGCCTGCCTACAGGCCACGTCAAGTCTGCAGAATGTTGGACAATTGTTGCATTTTTGCGGCGGTCGGTCGAAACATGCATTAAAATACCAGATAGATAAATACAAAACAAACCTATTAGCCTATTAGCCTATTATATATAGGCTAGCATTGGCTATTGCAGGGTCCAGATGGGCAACACTCCAAACTTGAAGCGAAGGAACCTACCCAAAAGATCCCAAAAGACAACTTGCAACAGCGTGCAGTGCAGCGCAAGCACGTCCAACAAAAACAGCAAACAACACTCTGGGTCTCCAGACATTTGCTGACCAATCACATTTTGGGCCCGATCAGCAACGCAGAAAGCTTGACAATGTCAAAGCAGCAACGGGGCAACGCAGAAAGCCTTCCCGACATGGCTGGGTGCAGAATATGGGCTCCACCTGGTGCT